TTGAGGGGAATCGATCCAGCCATTCAGTCATATTTAAAAAATAGCTCAGTAGAACCTGGTACATACTAACGTACAAGCAAAAGTTCATAACTTCAAATCAAAGTTTAGAACTTCAAAATAACTTTTTGCTCTCTGGCTCTCCTGGCAAGACCGTATTCAATTGTAATGAAACATGTAGTACTAGGATTATGCAGTAAAAATGAGATGAAAAAAACCCTTGGAGCTACATTTTTCTTATTTGTGTCAAAAATCAATAATAATTTTGATGCAATGCACACCCCTCTAAATTATGAGTGTGCAACTCTCACAAAATTATATTTGATGATGATGATGATGATGTGTGTCCAAAATTGGAAAATTCTACCCCATGGATTTTTGTTTTCATTTTAAATACATAATACTAGTAAATTATTCAACTTTAAACTAGTAACAAAAATGAAGAAAATACGTATCTTTAACACAAGCATCTGTCATCTAGATTTGGTGTTTAAATATACTACAGTACAGTTGTACATTTTAATCCCTTATTTTGCATTCAATGACTACTTTGACAAAAAAACTGGCTTGTACTGCAGTTTACAGTCGGGCACATGCTCAATTGCCATGTAGTATCATTTTGATGTCCAATACTATGCTGCGCAACCTGTTTTTATGATTACACACAAATTCTGCATAAGTCCCCCTCAACAACCATATTTATCCTCCAGTACATCTGGGCTGCATTGAATTTTGGTCAGAGTAAATGTCAAGTATTGTATAGTAGCATGGGCCACATATTTCCTGATGCACCAATTATACATTTTAAATTCAGATTTCAAATTCAGATATACTACCCTGAATAGCTTTCAATAATCAATGACCCTCTAAAACCCCCCACATGACTGTATTTGTCTTTTTACTGGGATTCAATTCATGTGCCTATCATACTTAAGCATCCATTGAGGACCAAGATAGTGGTTAGAGTGAGTTGACACTTACTTCATGTTCTACGTGTTTTTGATTTTGGGCTATCTTTTTACTATGTAATGACTCCTGGGATTAAAAATTCAAGCCAAAAATATGCTTGGACTTGTAGTAGCATGTGTTAGAGGAGCAAAACTATCTGGTCGCATAACTTGTGGGATTCAAAAATTCAGCAAGTACTGAGCAAGTGCATTATGTAGTACATCCATAGTTTTTTAGTCAAACTAGTCATTTGACACAAAAATAAGGGCCCAAAATGTACGATTGTATTGTATATTTGGTAGCCATGTCTATCATTCAATAGCATTGGACTTTAAATTCAATATTCCGTCCTACTAGCACTATCATTCCAATTGCATGATGTAGATTAGCATTAGCAGTTTGGCCACAACAATGGAACACTTCAGCACAGGAAAAAATCAAATGATGACAACTCTGTTCTTCCAGTTCCTCTAATCAGCATTACTACCTTTTGCAACTCCACACAAAAATTCTCACATATCACCATGATGCTCCCATCTCCTTACACCAACAGCCCCTACACCAAACACCAGCACCCTTACCATCCACTACCMTCTGTGTTGTAGCAATGGGTTTGTCCTCCAAGTTAAGAGTGTACTAGAGATGGTGCTATAAAGATGACAAACAAAACAAAAATGCAAGAGACCTATATTGTATTCTGCTACAAGAAGGAAGCATCATGATGGTGCAGTTACCTTTAGACAACTTCTTTGTCATCTCAGTGATGATGAGAATTGCTCCAAGCAGTACTGACTTTGCTTGGGTGGATCCAAAAATGTTGCAACACCTGTATTTGACCTGAACAACAAGAAGCAATCACATCTGGCTAAGAAGTTCTGTTCAACAAATTTCTCAAAAATGGCCCAGGTATGGCCCTTCCAGAGAATCTTGATATGCAGGTTATGTGTCAACCAATCAACTGCAATTTGTTGGACAAGGAACTTGATAATTTTGCTTCACTCAGTCAAAGTACACTACTTAACTGAAGGTAATTAAGCCTACAAAGTCAAGGAGCAAAAACATATGTACATGTGGTGCAAATAAATACAGAAAATGCATTCTTTACAAAATCCCACTGTGTTCCAATTTTTTTGTTCTGTCACAGCAACTACCACAAGTATAAATGATTTGGGATTGGAAGAGGTGACTATTGCTCTAGGGTTGGGAATGACAAGAGAACAAAAGGTGGAAGGGACTGGATGGCTCCAACAAAAGAAGAGTCAAGAGATAACTCCAAGTACTCATTGGATAGTGAGGAGGAGGAGGAGGAGGAGGAGGATACTGGTGTTACTACAATGGATTCAAATGAGGACAATGTTGATTTTTCACCAAGAAGCAGCAGTACTAACGCAACTGTTGATAGTGAACTCACTCAACCAGCTGTTGGCGATAGTACCAATACTGAATTTACACCAAACAGTGTGATTGGTGGAGTGATTGGACCAATGGAAGCAGGATGGTGGGAAGCCTAAGAAATAACAAGTGGCTTTTTCAGTTGCTGATTTGGTTGCTGATTCTGATGCTGATTCAGTTGCTCATTTGGTTGCTGGTTTGGTTGCTTATTCTCCTTTCTTGTTGCTTGATCTAGATCCACAATATGCTCACCAACTACAGTGGTGACTGATCTCCTCCACTTGAGCTCCAGTCCAATCTATGCAACTCCTCCTCATCATCAGCGTCCCACTAGAAAATTCAGGCCATAGTGCTAGGGCTCCCCCATTCATTGTATACAAACTCTTTGGCATAGGTAGTGCTAGGTGAGTAGTTGTTTTCCCTCCTCGTCACAGATATGTTGGCTGCTTTGGGTGCAAGTAGAGGAAGTCTGGTGTTTTGAGTTATTGAGTTTTGTTCTTTTACTCTAGCTGCTGGTGCTTGCTTGTTGTTGTAGTATCCTCCATTCTTAGATGGGGCTGTGTGCCCCACAGGATGTATTGTTCTTGATTGATTCCAAGTGAAGGAAACCTGATTGATGCATTATGTTTAAGCAAGGAGAAATGTATCTACCACTGTTCTTACTTCTAATAAACAGGAGATATCAAAAGATGCAAGGAGGGGTCTTGTCAGAGTTTTCAGTTGCATAAAACTTTGCCTAATTTAGTAATGAAACTAGCCATTCTTTCACAACAGAAAGATGGCCCAAATTGATACACAGAGCTGTTTTTTAACTATTGTGATTAATCTTGAACTGACAGTTTGAGCTAGTATATCTTGGTTGCCAACTGGCCCTCAATAGAGAAAAGCACAGCAATGTGTTCCTGATTGAGACAGAATTCTAGTTTTGTGTTTTTTGGGGGGGGCTATTGATTATTTCACCAAGGTGTACAGGGCTGAATATTAAAGGCCAAAAATGTACAACTGGCCCATCCAGAATTTTTGCCAACACTATACAATACTATGATGGACTATCATTTCAATTTCTGATCCTCCTTTTTACAATCATGTTACTAGTGCAGATACCATAGGCTTCCTGTTGAGTGTAACAAAAGCTCCATCTAATAGTAATAGAATTTTTGGTGAACAGCAGCATCTTGTTCTTCATGCCTGAAACAGCTTTCACACAATAGAATCCTGCGAGAAAAGAAAAGACTTTTTTTGACTAACAACAAGTAATAGCTGCTGTGTACTATTAGTAGCTCTGATTCAATAGTAGATGTTGCTGGCTTTGTCTATTCTTGATCTGAAATGGCTCATGTTGTTGTCATGACTCACATCATGTTTGAGATTTGTTACAATGAAGTCAAGGAAAACCCTTGGCCTCTTTGACTATTGAGTAACAATACCAAAGACATTGTTAAACAGTGTTGCACCACAAGAGACACATGCATGGAAGTACTAATCATTGTCTCTTCTGTTTGGATATTGTCACTATGTGTTTGTCATGAAAACCTCACACCCTTTAAATCAATTGTAAAAATTCTACATTGTCATCCCAGATACAATTATTCTGATTMATTAAGTGCTGATTGTTTTGGAAACACCAACCACCAACATACTACAATTGTGAGTTTTATTATTTTACTACCACCAGTATGATTGTTAGTCATCACCAGATCACACTACTGTAATGTTGTCATCTCAGGAGCTTGCTGTTGCTGGCCAGGGAGGCAGGAAATTGTCCACAAAAACATTCCTGCTGCTCCAAATCACCATGTTTGAAACAGTAGTAGGAGAGAAACACCCTTTGACTCCTCTAAGAAGACACTTCTACTATAGACTAGTAGTCTACTACTACTACTACTACTACTACTACTACTACTACTACTACTACTACTACTACTACTACTACTACTACTACTACTACTACTACTACTACTACTACTACTACTACTACTACTACTGGTAAGTAGTTTCTATAGTAGTAGTAGAGGCCCAACTTCCATTCAATAAGGAAACTATCAGTCTAGTAGCTAGTAGTAGTACGTGGTGGGTCATGATGATCACAATACTTGTACGTTCTTGAAGAAATCCTCCAAGTTTTGCAAGAAAGCAGCCATCACCACTGCCAACAACTCTTCCTCTGGCAATTCCATCAATGTACTACTTTACAAGCCACAAGCTTCCACCTCCCCACCTGTGGGGATACTAGTACTAGTACTAGTAGTACCTTTCTTGATCCATTTAACAAGGGTACTCATTGTGATTTTTGTGTCCAATACTACTAGTACTAGTACTACTAGTAGTAGTCTACCACAGCAGTAACTGTCACCCAATGTCACTGCAACAAACATTCTACTACAGTATATCCCAATACTATCTCTTCTCATTGGTCTCACTGACAGGCATTTCATTTGAATTCCATGGCTCTCCTAATCCAGCAAATCTGTGTTCCAACCCACTGTCTGCTCTTCCAAACTAATAGCAGGAAAGATGTTCGTCAACTACTGGTCCTTAAATTGAGCGTAGTTTTGCAGATGCTCTCTGTAGCATGAGTGCCAACACTTACCGGTACTTGTGCAGCTGAGAAAGTGCGCCCTCCTTTTAACCACAGTAGATTTTTCTTTTTGAAGATTCCGACAAATAAATACCAAATTATATTTCACTACTACTTTTAATATTGCTCTGACTCATTGGTCGTGCAGGTTGTTCGGAATCATTGTCTTCAATTTGTTTGCACGGAGCATGACCTTCAAGTCCCAAACAACCCAACGTGAAAGAGGTTCCCTCGACTATCTCCTATCCAAATGTTTATTCACGAAATAATGATGAAAATGACATATACGCCTTGAAGTAGACAAAGCATTCAGTTGATGAGCTAGCTGCTGGACTTGCAGTAGCACTTGCATGGACAGATGCATCCGTAGCAGAACCAATTGCAAATGTTGATGTAAGATCCGTTTTCGTCGTTTCCGCACATGTCGCCATCTCTCTCGAAAAACATGTAGTCGAGGTGGATAATGTGAGCCAGGATGTTTGCCTTTTGCTGGGCCGAGACAGACTTTTGGGCAAAGGTGACGTCAAAGATATCACTGTCGGTGAAGACCTCACGCATGGCCTGGCTGAACTTTTTGGGCCTGATCTTGGTGATTGTGGCATAGTCACCAAAGTTTTGCTTGTGGAGCTTGGAAGAGTTTTCGTACATACTCTGGTCGGCTACAGCGACTCCAAAAGGAGAGCTGCAACAAAGAGCTGAGCATCCACCCGTTACGCATGGTCCACGGGAGGCGGCGAAGAGTTCCGTTTTTCCTTCGGCTCCATCGCTAGGATCAGCACGGTCCATCATCTGCATAACTGGCTTGAAGCCACCACCGCCCTTCGGCTGGATGGATTCTCCGATAAGGCTGACACGTTCCCGCTTGCCGTCCTTTTCTCCGGGCTTGCCGTCCAAATCACCGGCGTGAAGGGTACCGATGTCCCTGCATCCCTCGGTGCAGGCATAACAACCTATGCAAGGCTTGGGACAAGCGCCTTTGAAGCAGCAATCGCATCCTTCCCGTTCGAAGGTCATGAAAGGGGCCCCACTTGGTTCGTAGGACCAGTCAATTTTTTCACCAGGCTTGATTTCCGGGGCGTCGCTGCCCACCATGTAGAACTTGACAAAGATAGAGTGGTTGGGTGCACAGAAGCAGCGGGAGCAGCCGTCGGATTCTTCCTTGATGATCTGCACGAGGGGTACGGACAGAAAGCAAACGCAGCAAGGACAGAATTGAAACAACGGGAAGGAATGTGAGAGGACGGCGGATTGATTTCACTGAAATTAGTGCGCAAAGCACAATGCCGTGATATCATACATTGGAACAGAATGCATAACCATGAAATTACCACAATCGTGATAGCTAAATGAACTCACCATGACACGCTTATTGGTTTCCTTGTTGAAGACATCGTAGACATTTGCTTGTTCGATGCAGCCCTGGGTAACAGCTTCCACCATACGAATTCGCTGCTGGATGAAAAAGGCATCCATGCTGCTCAGAAGTTCGACGACCCCTGCATCCAGCAGGATATCAGTGTTAGATTTACCCATGGTTGTATGTTTCGTACAAGTATTAGATAAGAAGAAAGCGTGTGGATGTCGTATTTATTATGAAAGTAGAATTCACTGAGAAACAATGAAAGATATCGAAGCGAACAATATCAACACTGAAAGGAAGCGAAGAAGGACGGAATGAAGAGACCATACAGTAGTATCAGTAATTCCGTATGATTATTACGAGTACCACTGAACGTACAGAATGGTATTGTACGTAGGGTACGAGTATGTTGAATCAATTTTTTGGATTCTTGTTCGGATTCGTACGATACCACCAGTACCGTACAGTAATGGTGAATGAACTGGTAGTTCTACGTACCTACCGCTACTGCAGAACCAAAAGAAGCGAAAAATCGCATCTACTACCTTCGACCGTTTTGCAATTTCGGTTGCAAAAATGGGGTACTCGTACCGTACGGTGCCGGTACACTACGGTAGGAATTAGTAGGAATATTCTTCTTCGCTTCCACGCAATGTACGTACTTATTACTGTACCGTTCCATGCACGAACTGGACTTGTACGTACGAGTATGTTGAATCAATTTTTTTGATTCTGGTTCGGATTCGTACGATACCAGTACTGGTGAATGAACTGGTAGTTCTACGTACCTACCGCTACTGGAGAACCAAAAGAAGCGAAAAATCTACGGTAGGAATTAGGAATATTCTTCGCTTCCACGCAATGCATTACTGTACCGTTCCATGCACGAACGGTACGTGTTACTCGTAACAATATTCTACTACAATGGTACTGTACAAGGAAGTACGAGTACCGGTACGAGCAGTCATCCAGCTCGCTGATTCATCAACTCGTGTTGTAAGGCACGTACGAACCGTATCGCATTGTTTGCCACGCTCCTTACTGTGCTATGTGCAAACTGTACCCGTGTCGACAAAAAAGATTCGACGTCTCATTTACCATGCGCGAAACTGCAAATTTCAAATTTGCATTTTGGGACAAATTTAGTCCCTAACGTCCTACTATCAACAATTGAAATTACGTTAATTGAGGCATTGGGAACGTTAATTCAACATTCCGGATGTTAATTATTTTTTCCCTGTAGACTATTCCTGCAATTCCAATAATCAATGTGGTAGTGCACTACCTTCCCAAAGCAATTATTTGGGTCTTGTACATACGTCAAAAAGGAGCAGGAAGTGACACAAATACATACTAGATTCTTGATTCACACCAGCACAGGCTCCTGGTCCTCACGTCAACAAAAAGAACAAGTAAGTAGTACTAGACGAAGAAATATGCACCAGCACTCACATACTTTTTTGGAATCCTTGATCAAAAAGTTCTCATGTCAAAAAGAGCAGGGGGAGCCCAAATTGGTGCACCAAAGCAAATCTAAAATGTCACCACTGTTCTCTACTAGAGGAGCTGGGAGAGCCAAAAATGGTGCCCTAAAACATATCTACTACTAAAGTGTCACAATTGGAGTCTCACTCAGCAAAACTGCATAAAGATAGCTGTAGCAGCATCAAATGGACATCAATGCAGTGCTCATAAAAAAAGGACCATCTTTGCTCAAAGACCAACAACATGTCACTAGAATTGATCATGCGTTGTATAGCTATCCACTTTGAGCCAGCAGATGGTGTGCAGAACAATTTACCTCCTCCTCTGCTGGAAGAAAGGCATCATTTGGATAGGAGAATGCAACGGATACGTACGTATACGATACAATTCGAAGAAATGAATAAAGGATCATACCCTTCCTATGTACCTATCGTAAGGTACGGTTCCTATGTATGTATCATAGGATGCATCGTAAGAGGTCCAAGGATCATAAGAGGTCTAAGATACTATTCGAGAATACCTCACGAAGAATAGAGATGTCACGAGTCCRGAATAGAGAACCTCHGTSTAGATTMCCTACCAGGTCTACATGAGGTTCTAATCAGAACTTCGGAATTCTCGTGAACGCGCTCRGTAATCTTAATCTTATAATTTCAATTTTCATACACACTTAACATACTAAGAGTACAGGTAATCTTGTGCAGAGAACCCCAATGATTGCAATTCAGGAGATACAATCAGTGCCCACTCCTCTACTTGTTTAGTTCTGGTAATGAGCAAGCCCTTTGAAACTGTTGTTATGCAGACCACGTGGTCTTCAGAGGTCTCCTTGCACTCTATGCCTAGTTTGACAAAAAAATTAAATACGTACAAAATGCACATTCTCAGTACTTTAATTTTTGAATCCCACCAGTTGTGTAACCAAATAATTTTGCACACACATGCTCCTCACTGTCTTGTTTTTGCTTCAACATGTGATATTGCTGTACCAATAGTACAAATCCAAAATTTTTAATCCCACAAGTCATTACACAAAAAAAAGATAGCCCAAAACCAACACACAATACAAAAACACATAGAACATTAAGTATGTGTCAACTCACTCTGGCAGCAATCTTGGTCCCCAAGAGATGATCAAGAATGATAGTCACATGGATCAAAGGCCAGAAAAAAGGTGAATATAGTTGTGTGTGGGCKGATAGGGTGGCATTAGCTATTGATCATATAAAGTTGTACAGGGGTTACTATATACTAGTACTATACAGGATTGGTAGTAATGTACAATTGAATCATCTTTTTTTTAAAGCCACAGCTATATGATAAAAGCAAGTAGATCTCAGATTAAGACCTTGGTTTTGGTGTGGGAGTGACTGTCCTAAAAGTGATGTAAAGTGTATGCTAGTAGAAAAGTGAGTCGAT